TGGTTCATCTCAGGGGACCAGACAAGTCTATCTCCTTTGGTGCCTGTGTAGCTCAGCTGTTCATCGCTCTAGGGTTGGGTTGCACAGAATGCATTCTGTTAGGGGTGATGGCATTTGACCGCTATGCAGCCATCTGCAGGCCCCTGCACTACACAGTGATCATGCACCCCCGTCTCTGTGCCCTGATGGCTTCTGCATTGTGATTCATTGGTTTTGCCAACGCCTTGTTGCAGACGGTGCTCATCTTCCTTGTACCACTTTGTGGGAGAAATAAAGTAGTCCACTTCTTTTGTGAGGTCCCCCCATTGCTGAAGCTTTCCTGTGTTGACACTACTGTGAATGAGTCTGAGCTCTTCTTTGTTGGTGTGATCATTCTCCTCATACCTGTGGCATTAATCACGTTCTCCTATGGTCGAATCATCAGGGCAGTGTTAAGAATAAAGTCAGCCACTGGACAGAGGAAAGTGTTTGGGACATGTGGGTCCCACCTCACGGTGGTCTCCCTGTTCTATGGCACGGCCATCTATGCTTACCTCCAGCCCAGCAACAACTACTCCCAAGATCTGGGCAAGTTCATTTCTCTCTTCTACACCATCGTCACCTCCATGGTCAACCCCTTCATATATACCCTGCGGAACAAGAATGTGATGGGAGCAGTGAGAAAGGTGTTGTGTAGGGGCTATGACTCCAGATGACTGAGGGGAAGACCCTTTCATGAAAGGCATTGAATACAGAGTCTTTATGGTTTCTGTGTCCTCAACATTTCCCCTGACAACTCTCAAGGGAACTTTCTTAATTCATTCTTTATGCAAGTGAGTATTCAAACTCTAAGTTCATGGACGCATGGCAGCCTCCAGAGATGCTGAGGTAGTGTACCTACACCATCTGCATCATATTAATATTGTAAAAAGTTTCAGAGGATTTTCTTAGTTCACCCCCATTTGGGAACACTATCCCATTTCTAATTGCAAAGGACAGTGACACACACACCATGAAAGCATACCAATATAAGAATAAAAATGACCAGAACACGCTAATAAATATCAATATTGTAGAAAATTCTAGCAATTTCTGGAGGCTGTTTCTTCTTCTCACAGTCAGATCATGGCTCTATTACAACGTCTGTGGCCTGACTGGATCACAGCTTTTTCCCAGAGTAGGAGGACAACTGTGGGAAATCAAACTTAGGTGAGAGAAAATATGCCAACATCTATCCTGATAGAGCAATTCAGCTATCAAGCCGTGGTGTAATGTCGCCCTTGTGATACTGTTTTCGTCTTGAAACACAGTTCTTTGTTTTTCAAAAAAATTTTTTCGTTAGAATTGATTTTTATGATTTTAGTGTTTAATTAAATTTTTATTGTCATTCCATTAGAGTTAACTACAGTATTAACATTACTTTCTGGTGTACAATACAGTGATTCCACATTTCATCATCACATGTACTCTCTTTAATCTCCATCACCTGTTTAATCCCTCCCCCCAGACCATCCACTGTGGCACCAGTGAGCCCAGAGAAGGGAAGGGAGATTCTCAGTTCATGCATCCCTAATTCCTAGCCCTGTCCTGGCCTTAGGACTGTCACCCCTGTGAGACCCTCCTGTACCTCCTAGTCTGCACGTTTCGCAGCTACTGTTTGCCAGAGTCCCGCTCTGACCAGGCTCACGGAGGAGGCAGGAAGAGGTCACAGACCCCTGGCAACCCCTCCTTTGCAGGTGACTGCTTTTTGGATGCTTGTTTTGTGACACGAGTGAGAGCTCTCTTTCACCACAGTGGTGTTGTGGCATGTTTGAGCCTTTATGGTGTAGACTGGGAACACCATGTATGGACCTGTGGTTTCCTGGGAAGGGAGGCTGGGTGTCAAAGTGGAAAGGGGAGGGTGAATGACTGGAGATCAGAGGATCAGGGGCAGGTGTTCCTGAGGTGGCCTTAGAACAGGACCTGGTTTTGGGGAGGAGAAATTTCCTTTTTCCCCAGGGCTTTTCCACCTGTTTTGGAATCAAACTGATATGAGACAGAGTAACTGGAGAAAACACCCAGAGTTTTATTACCTGCACAGGGAGGCCCAATCTGGAAATTGAGACCCAAAGAAATGACCAAAGCAAGCTGAAATGGAGATCCATTTCCTGGTTATTTCAAGTAATCAGACATTAATACAACTGTGTTTTAGGGAGAAGAGCCCAGAGTCCTCCTACATTTCCATCCCCTTTACTCTTCCTGCTGCTTTCTTTTGTTTTTAAGAAAGAAGAAGATTGCATGTCTGTGTGAGCCAGGCAGGGTCAGAGTGAGAGGGGGAGAGAGAAAATACCAAGCAGGCTCTGCAACATCATCACAGAGCCCAGTGCAGGGCTTGAACTCACAAACTGAGAGATCATGACCTGAGCTGAAATGAACAGCTGGTTGCTCAACGAAATGAGCCACCTAGGCACACCCTCCCTCCCCTGGCAAAACCCTATTTTCACATAAATTCTCATTAACTTGAAGTGGGCATTAGGATTTCACACAGCATTCAACCCCATAGTAATAGTTAATGTGATTATCTGAGCAGATTTCAAAATTCTTTATTATACACAAATTCCTGCATGCAGTAGTGAGACCAAGATGCAGGTATTATTTCTATCCTGTTCCAAGTTCATAAATGAGGTACATTGTGGTCATGGTAATTGCTAAGATTCTTATTGAGAATGTTGGGATTTCTTTTATTCTTATTGTTGTCTAGATAGCAGAAACCCTCGGCAATAAGAAAGACCAGATTCCCCTTATCTGGCTTGATTGCCAAAAAAGGCTATTCTCCTGACTCCCATTTGTTATGCTTACAGATAAAAGACAAACACAGATTGCATGCTGGAAAGACCTGCCCCTGAGCACTTGGGTTGAGCTGGAAGAGAAAATACTTACAGTCTTTCCTTCTCCAGTGAAGTGGTAATTGGCTAATTGGGAGTTCAGATTTCACTTCCTTCTAGAACTTGGTCTAAAGAAGAGCAGCCTCATCCATAGACACAAGTTCTGCAGGTCGTGCCACACCTTTTTGGGTCTAAGCAATCAGGAGTAAAGGGGACAAGGTCATGTCATTGTAGGAACATTTGAATGGATGTTTAGGTAAGAATGTGGCCTCTCCTTTCAAGGAAGAATAAGAAAGATTACAGATATCCACCTAACTTTTGGAAGCAGCCAATGGTCTTTGAAGAACCACTACAGTTGTAAGAAGTGAAGAGATTGGCATATGGATGGGAAAGTGAAGGTCCTGCAGATCAAAGTACATGACCGCTGTCCCTGTGAAAGCTAGGACACTCAGACACTGCCCAGTGGTGTGTGGTTGTGGATCTGTAGGAAAGCGTTAGGGGATACAATAGGTAGAAGAGAGCCCTTAGAATAAAGACAGATTCGTGTATTTACCGTATGGCAACCTTGGACAGGATAGTCTTTGAAAATGGTGAATCTGAAAGGCAAGGGAAGTCACAATTGAAGGGAAGGGAAGTCACAAGGGACGACTTTGTTCAGGCTCTGTTCAAGGTAATAATGCTTCTCTCCATCATTACTGTTAGCATAAGTTCTGTCATGCCCAGGGTTTACCCAGAAAGATTGTCCACTCATTGCAGAGTGTTTTGGCACAAGCGAAGAGGTGTAGTTTAGAGTGGACAATGGAGCCCGGAGGTAAACAGAAGTTGGAATTTATGAATTCTTTGGAATCTGCCCATGAATAAAAGGGCTCATGTTATATCTGAGGGATATTTTTATAAGCACCAAAGTCAAAGTATGTGCTCTAGGGACCGAGGATGTGTGTATTTTTAGAGCCCCAGGAGGGGCCTGCCCCATGTAACTATTTGTCTCAGTCCCAGTATTCAGAGTTTGGCTCCCCAGAGGCAGCCAAAGAGGACGGAAGACTCTGGAGGTGTGAGATGAGCAGGTAGTCAATCTTTCCCCGCCAAATTGACTAGGAATGAAACAATTGTCTCTTCTTAACTTCCATTTACCAAAGCCATTTCATATTATTGGCTAACATATTTTGGGTATTCTTCGGATTCATTTTTTAAATGACATACAATTTTCACATAACATGTATTAGATTTTTAAAAGTTTATTGTCAAGTTAGCTAACATACAGTATAATCTTGGCTTCAGGAATAGATTCCTGTAATTCATCCCTTTCATACAAAACCCAGTGGTCATCCCAAGTGCCCTCCTCAATGCTCATCACCCATTTTCCCCACCCCCTCAACCTCCCACCTCCCTCAACCTCAATTTGCTCTCTGTATTTAAGAGTCTTTTATGGTTTG